TGCATCATCAGCATCATCACCATCATCATCATCGTCAGTACCATCAGCAGCAGCATCGTTATCCGACTCCCCATCATCAACAGAAGAATCATCAACGTCATTATGATCAAAAGAAGCGGCAGCCATCAGCATCAGCACCAGCATCGGCAGCACTAGCAGCAGCAGCATTACCCTCATCGCCATCAGACTCATCATCATCGTCGTCATCAGCAACACCACCATCAGCATAGTCACTGGCTGGAGCAGCAGCATCATCAGTATCGTCGTCGCCATCAGCATCGTCATCACCATCAGCAGCATCATCATCACCATCATCATCATCATAATCAGCATCGTCATTATCATCATCATCATCATCAGAATCAGCATCATCATCATGATGATCATCGTCATCATCATCACCATCATCATCATCATCATCAGCATCTTCATCATCGTCATCATCAGCATCGTCGCAAAATCGTCTTAGCATGATCAGCAACCGCATCATCAGCATCATCGTCGTCGTCGGCGTTGTCATCATCATCATCAACATCATCATCCCCAACGGCATCATCAGCATCATCAGCATTGCGCCGTCATCATCGTAAACATCATGATCAACATACCCCGCGTCATCATCTACAGCATCATCATCAACATCAGCATCACCATCATCATCAGCATAATTATCTTTAGCATCGTCATCATCATCGTCATCATCAGCATCAGCATCGTCGTCGTCGGCGTCGCTGGCGTCGCCATTCTGTCGCCGGCGTCAACATCAACGTCATCGTCGTCATCAGCATCATCATCATCAGCGTCATCATCGTCAGCATCATCATCGTCGTCAGCACCATCATCGCCACTAGCAACCATCACCGAGCGCCACAATTCGCAGTGATCATCGTGGTTGTAAACAGTGTCATCGCCAACGTCATCATCATTATCATCATCAGCAGCATTCTCATCATCGTAATCATCATCATCATCATCATCATCATCATCATCATCATCATCAGCATCAGCATCAGCATCAGCATCAGCATCAGCACCTTCAGCAGCATCAGCAGCATCAACAGCATCAGCATCAGCATCATCAGCATCAACGGCATCATCATCCTTATCATGCGGCTTCGCACTATCGTTCGCATACGAGGCAATCATCCTCTCCCGCCTTATCCTCCCCCTTCTCCTCCTCGTCATCGTCCCCTCTCCATCACAATCCTCCCACGAAGGAGCGAAGGAGGTGAGATGAGCTTCCCCAACAACATTCAAGGTTTTGAGTAACATATCGGCATGGCAATCTGTGGTGCATTGAACACCACCGAGCTGAACAACACCCCCAAACGACGATACAGAGGCGCTCTGACAAAATCGAGCAAGGCGCAGGGCGGATCACAGGCAGATCCGAGACCCCTCGAGGCGGACTGCCGACACAGCATGACCACACCAAGACCCCCAGAGGCTCCCAAGGGGCCTCTTCCGCACCCATGAGCGGTCGAATGGTGAAGCAGGATGTGTTGAACACCCAAAGGTCAGGGACTAGAAGAAACCAGCTGGATGCTCACACCTCGAGAGGCCTCCCAATCGAAGCTCAAGCAGATGGGGTCGGAGACTCGCACTGTATCGCCGATGCATGGGGCATGCATCAACTACGTTTGATGTTTACCACTACTTCCCGAACAAGGCTTGCCCTTAGGGAATATTACTCCTGCTCAAAAAAACTGGGCCGCGTGTTCGGTCTGGCGGTTCCGTGCTGGCCGTCGCCGCCCCGCTGCCGCCCGTCGCCTGGCCCTGTGCGTCGGTCCGGCGGCTCCGTGCCGACCGTCGCTGCCCCGTCGCCGCCTCGGCATCGCCCGCCGCCGCTGTCGGATCGCACCACATCGACTGCACGGGAAAATTTCGCCTGCGGCGCGCTCTCTGGACGCGCACAACATAGATTGCACCACACACGTTGCACAACATGGGTTGCGCCACACTACACCACCACATACATGGCACGATGTGGACTGCACAACATTGAGTGCACCACCTACGTGACACAGCAGAAATTGGAAAACATGTGTTGTATGACCATGAATGTACGAACTGCACGACACCATGGATCACAAAAAATAATATTGCACACAATGTATTGCACCACCTAAACTCTTTTCTAAAGAAAATGACGATCACCCACCCGTGGATTGGACCGTCTTCCTTTGCGTATTGCAATTTACAGGGTATCTGTCCCATCGCCCATCCTAAATATGAACTCGTACAATCCCAGCCAAGCCGGTATCGACACCCTCCCGCATCCTCAGGAAAAAACTATGCGCGCACACTCGCTCATCACAAATCATCAGTTTACAAGAATCCCTTGCAAAAAAAGAACGAAGTGCACACGCGTGCGTCGTCGCGCGCGCATGCCGAAAGCCTTCTAAAAACCTTAGGTTTCCTAGGAAGTTCAACACCGAGTGCCCACATGTTGAATATATGGCTTCGCAACGAAGGTATTCACAAAAACTTGCGCTCGCGCTCGTGCAGGTTCTAAAGAAAACCCCGCCTTTCCAACATACCTAGAAGATACTGCCAAGCGGGCCCTTCGCACGCGCATGTCGAAATCGTTCGAACGCCCGTGCGCGCGTGGTGTTGCCAGAATCCTTTTTACAAAAAACGGCACGATGTGCACACGCGCGCGTCGTCGCGCGTGAATGCCGAAATCTCGGAAAGAGCGTTCGACCGCTGCTGGCGGAAAACGGGGGGGGGTCTCTGGGGGTTCCCACCCCGTCCGTCCCCCACCCCCCCTCCCTCGAAATCCGGGGGGGGGTCAATACCCGTTCGAACCCCCCCCCCTCCCCCAGTCCATCATGAAAAGGGGGGGATCACAACCGGTTCGAACCCCCCCCTCTCCCTCGAAAACCGGGGCGGGTCACTACCGGTTCGAACCCCCCCCTCGCCGCAGGCAAACGATTCCCGCACCTCGGGATAGATGGACAGTGGTGGGGATACTGGGACAGTGGTGGGGACGGTGGTGGTGGGGACAGAGGTGTGGGGACAGTGGGAAAGTGGTGCGGACAGTGGTGGGGACGGTGGTGGTGGGAACAGTGGTGAGGGGACAGCGGGACAGGTGGTGCGGACAGTGGGACAGTGGTGGGGACGGCAGTGGCGGGGACCGTGGTGAAGGCGGTGGTGAAGACGCTGGTGGGACAGTCGTATAGTGAGGAGGGTGGTGGGGACAGTGGGAATAGTGGGACCGTGGTGAGGACGGTGGGGACAGTGGGACAGCACAGTGGGACAGCGGCGGGGACAGTGGGGACAGTGGGACAGTGGTGGACACAGTGAAGACAGTGGGACAGTGGTGGGGACCGTGGGGAAAGTGGGGAGAGCAGGACCGTGGTGGGACAATGGTGGCGAGAGTGGGGATAGTGAGACACTGGTGGGGGCACTGGTGGGCGGGAACAATGGTGGGAACAGTGGGGACAGAGGGATGGTGTTGGGGACTGTGGGACAGTGGTGGGGACGGTGGTGGTGGGAACAGTGGTGTGGGGAAAGTGGGGATGTGGTGGAGACAGTGGGACAGCGGTGGGGACAGTGGTGGTCAGTGGTGGGGGCAGTAGTGGTGGGGACAGTTGTGAAGGCGGCGGTGAGGACGGTGGTGGGACAGTAGTACAATGGGGAGAGTGGTGTGGGGACAGTGGGGACAGTGGGACCGTGGTGGGGACACTGGGGACTGTGGGACAGCACAGTGGGACAGCGGCGGGGACAGTGGGGACAGTGGGACAGTGGTGGAACAGTGGGACAGTGGTGGGGACCGTGGGGAAAGTGGGGAGAGTGGGACCGTGGTGGGACAATGGTGGCGAGAGTGGGGACAGTGAGACACTGGTGGGGGCATTGGTGGGGACAGCGGGAACAATGGTGAGAGCAGTGGAGACAGTGGGACAGTGGTGGGGACTGTGGGACAGTGGTGGGGACAGTTGGTGGGGACAGTGGGACAGTGGGGACAGTGGGAATGTGGAAGGGGCAGTGGGACAGTGGTGGGGACAGTGGTGGTGGGGACAGTGGTGAGGACGGTGGCGAGGACGGTGGCGGGACGGAGGGACAGAGGTACAGTGGGACAGTGGTGGGGACAGTGAAAGTCAGTGGTGGGAACAGTGGAGCAGCTCAGTGGGACAGCGGCGGGGACAGTGGGACAGAGGGGCAGTGGGGATATTGGCGACAGTGAGGCAATGGTGGGGACCGTGGAGAAAGTGGGGAGAGTGGGACCGTGGTGGGAACAGTGGTGGGGACAGTGAGGACAGTGCGACAGTGGGGGGGGCACTGATGGGGACACTGGGGGCGGTGGTGGGAACAGTGGGGACAGTGGTGGTGGGGACAAGGGTGCTGGGAACAGCAGTGGGGGATGTGGTGCGGACGGTGGTGGGGACCTGGGAATCGTTTGCCGGCGGTGAGTGGGGGGGGTTCGAACCGGTAATGACCCCCCCGGTTTTCTGGAGGGGGGGGTTCGAACCGGTAGTGACCCCCCCGGTTCTCCGGAGAGGGGGAGGGGTTAGGGGAGGGGGGTCCGGGGGGAAGGGGGGGCAGGGGGGGGGTCCAGCAGCCCCTAGGGGAAAGGGGATTTTCGAGAGGGGGGGAAGGGGAGGGACCCCGGGGTTCAAGAGGAAGAGGGGGGAAATTTTCCACAGCAAAGCGGCGGTGGATCACGCCCTCTCAAATCTCGAGAACACCTTCGCTTTCGCAGAGATTTCAAATGGAGTGTCCCAAATCACATAAACAACATATGGCTTTGCTACATCAGTCGTCAGAAAAACTGCGCGCTTCTTGCGAAGTCTGAAATTATGCCAAACGGACCTCTCGTGCCGCATGTCAACCACATCCGGACGCCCTTTGCGCACGTGTTGGGGGGGACGATGAGAATTCAATAATTCCACGCGGACCACTCTCGCGCTTCGGCCGCGCGCGCATGTCGAACTTCTTCCAAAATCTTCATCACCGACACGAGGAAATCGTCATGTTATCGGACGGTGTGATCAATATCGGCGCCGTCATTGGCCTTGCCGTCGTCATCGCCGCCATCGTCACCATCATCGCTACTCTCATCATCGTGTCTACCGTTGTCGGCGTCGCCATGATACCGCTCCCGCCCAACGGTTAGCGCCACCGCGGCCGCATCGGCCGCGCCAAGCTAGCTGACCGCTGCGCGCGCGAGCATGCGCGGGCTAGCGCGACCGCAGAGATGCACCAGCCAACGCCAAACACTATCGCGATCGCCGCCGCATGGGCTTATGCAAACCAAGTTGCGAATGGGTGGGTGGAATGATTGCGCGAGCACTGGAATTGACAACTCACTGCGAACAGAGAATAATTGCAAAACCATCGAGTGCACCACATCGATTGCCCCACATTGTGAAAGCAAATAGCTAGCACAAGGTGTTTTGTCGCGCCTGCGGCGCGTTTCTTGACCGCTCACGAAACACTGTACACTACATAAGTCGCACAACATATCTTGCACATTAAAGACTGCACTACATACATTGAATTATGTACTGTGCGGCATGGACAGCACCACATACATTGCACATCATGCATTTTGCACAACACATACGGCTAGAAACTTATCAGTTGGGACCCACGCGGGCGCACAGTCCTCTTCTCAGTATGATTATGAGCAGCTCAAGGCCATGCGTGACCGGCCGACTGTGACAGTTCAAGAGTGCAGTGCTTCCTTCAACCACGGAGCTTATGCAATCCATGCAATATTATACTGCGAGTGCTTCGGCCTGGGCGCCTCTGCGCCTTCGTGGAAGCGGCCAGCCTCGGCTATGACCCGGACGGTGCACCGACGACGTCGGCGCGGAGACGATCGGACTCCACATCGAGCCGCAGCGCCGATGCATCGGCGATGCGGCGGCGCGGTCCTCCGACGCCACCTGCTCGGGTCCCATCTGGGGAGGCCCGGAGAGCGGCTGCGGGGCCCCGGATCTTTGCGGTGACAGGCCGTGCGGTGACCTCGAACTCCCGCATGACCTCATCGCACGGTCAGTCAGCGCACGGTTTGGCAACCTTGGAGGCCACAGTCGCCCGAGACGTCCTCGGAACATGACCCAGGTCCCAAAACCGTGCGGCCGCCCCGAAGCCCCGTTGGCTCACCACACGGTGTGGTCACCGCATCGTGCGGGGATCTCCGAAAAAGGCATGTTGGGTGCGTGGCTGAAGTGGAGTTCCGCGGCGCGGATTCTGCTTGTTGTTGTTTGCTGTCGCCGTCCTCACCTGCGACCCGCCCGCGACCCACCCCGCGACCCACCCTACGACACACCCGCGGCCCACCCGCGACCCACCTGCGACCCACCCGCGAGAAAACTCGACGCCTGCGGCGGGCCCTTTGTGCAATTTGGTTTTGTGTCCCAGCCCTCCCTTGGCGGTTGGGTTCTAGTTTTGAATACAGCCAAATGGGCCCCACCTCCTCCTTCCTGACTCCCGCATTCCTCACCCCTCCTCCCCCCCTCCGCCCCTCCCATCTCCCTCGTCGAGACCTCGCGGGCCCTGCGGGGCTGCGAACCGCGCAACCGTCGCCATTTTCGTAGGCTCTTGGGAGGTCCAGCGGAATGGAGGTCCATGCAGACCTGCTGAGACCTCGCGGCTCCCTGCGGGGCTGCGAACCGCGCAACCGTCGCCATTTTCGTTGGCTCCTAGAAGGTCCAGCGGAGTGGAGGAGGTCCACGCGGATCTGCCGAGACCTCGCGGCTCCCTGCGGGGCTGCGAACCGCGCAACCGTCGCCATTTTCGTTGGCTCGTGGAAGGTCCAGCGGAGTGGAGGTCCACGCGGATCTGCCGAGACCTCGCGGCTCCCTGCGGGGCTGCGAACCGCACAACCGTCACCAATTTCGGCTGCTCCTGGGAGGTCCAGCTCATATGCACTGCGGGTCCTTCAAAATGTGTTTGCATTGAGCGGTCCCAAGTATATTGGCCAAATGTGTAGAAGGGATTGGGTACGTCACCAGGCTTTTTTGTATCAAAGACGGCGCCTGGGGCTTCCTCAGAGCCTCGCAGACTGCCGACGACCTCGTCGCCCCCTCTCTCTGATCCGCAACTGTGGGGGTTATGGCACTGGTGTCGCCCAGGGGGGTCCCCCAGGGTGTGCCCCTCCCCGAAGGGGTCCCCGAGGGGGGGTCGCCGAGGGGGCGTCACCGCGAGACACCCTGCGAGGAACTTCGTCTGTACCTTCAGGGAGGGCGGCGGTGCAGAACATCGCTGGCTCTCGGTGGTAACTTCTGTACCGCCACCCTACCCTGAGGCCCTGGAACAACTCATTGGCAGATGTATCTGTATGCTTTCCTGTGGCGGCATGCCCGGCCATGCCCCCGCGGACGTGCAAGGACCCCCTTTGGCGTGAAGGGAAGCGGGCCCTGAAGGGAACAGGTCCTGGAGCAGCCGGCTTCTCCTCCACGAGCCGCCTCTGCTCGCGGTTCCCGGGGCCCAGGGATATGGCCCCGGGGGCCCGAGCGCCGCCAGAACCTCCAGGGCCCCGTGCAGCGCAGAACCCCAGTCGCGCACGGCGAGCACACACACACCCACACACACACACACACACACGCACACACACACACACACACACACACACATCGGGGGCGGCCAAGAGGGGGGCGTCCAAGAGGGGGGGGGGGGGGGGGCAAATCATGGCCGGCGGCATGTGCGCGGCCCTGGGGGGGGGGGCGGGGACGTGCTAAAGCAAGAAGGCGCGCCATGAAATCTGTGATATCCACACACACACACACACACACACCCCTGGTCATCCCCCCCCCCTTTCTGCCGCTCCCGAACACACACACACACACACACACACACACACACACACACACACACACACGCACACGCACACACACGGCGACGCCTGCCGGTACTTGCCCATGAACGTGCCAAGGTACGCGATGATGCCTCCGCCGGCCGCCGCAGGACGGAGGAGGAGGAGGAGGAGGAGGAGGGAGGGGAGGGGGGAGGAGGAGGGGTGGAGGGGGGGGAGAGGAGGGGGGAGAAGGGGGGGGGGGGAGGGGGAGGGGGAGGAGGAGGAGGAGGAGGAGGAGGAGGAGGAGGAGGAGGAGGAGAGGAGAGGAGGAGGAGGAGGAGGAGGAGGAGGGAGGAGGGTCTCTCAGCCTCGCCCTCTCGGGAGCGGCCTATCGCCCTGCCCCGACCCTGGGCCCGGGATCGGCTTGGCCAGGCTCGGTGCATAGCTGGCGCGCTCCGACCCAGCCACCACCAGAACAACCTCATCCTCCTCCTCCTCCTCCTCCTCCTCCTCCTCCTCCTCCTCCTCCTCCTCCTGATCCCCATCCTCATCCTCATCCTCATCATCCTAATCGTCAGCATCATCATCTTCATCATGAGCATCATCATAATCGTCATCAGCAGCAGCACCGTAATGAGAATCAGCATCAGCAGCAGCAACAACATCAGCATCATCATCAACAGCATCAGCATCAGCATCATCATCACCGTCATCATCAGCAGCAGCATCATCATCATCAACATCAGCATCATCATCGTCGGCGGCGTCGTCATCGTCGTCGTCATGATCATCATTACCTCCTCCTCCTCCTCCTCCTCCTCCTCCTCCTCGTCATCATCATCCTCCTCCTCCTCCACCTTCTCCACGTCCTCCTCATCGACGTCGTCGTCGCCCTCGCCCTCGCCCTCGCCACCGCTTCCGCCGCCGCCGCCGCCGTCGTCGTCATCAGCACCATCATCTTCTGCATCTTCCTCTTCATCTTCAGCATCGCCATCGCTGGCCCTCACTGCCAGGGGAGAGGTTGGACAAGGGAGGGAACGAGAGGCAGAAAAAGGGGGGGGAACGAGAGGGCCGAGGACCGAGGGCCCCGAGGAAGAGGAGGAGGAGAAAGAGGATCAGGAGGAGGAGGAGGAGGAGGATTAGGAAGAGGACTAGGAGGAGGAGGAGGAGGAGGAGGAGGAGGAGGAGGACTAGGAGGATTGGGAGGAGGATTAGGAGAAGGAGGAGCAGGAGGAGGCAAAGGAGGACGCCGACGCGCTCCGCTCCTTCCCCGCTGGGCCAGGGCGCGAGACGCGAGGCCACCTCACTGCAGCACTCCCCGCGGCGCTCCATCGAGCGCCCCGGGGAGCGACCATGCGGCGCAGCGAGCTGAAAGTGAAGGGGCCCTGGGGCACACAAATAAATACACACAAATAAATATATTCCCACGAAGCTCCCAAGACGGCGCCGAAACGACCCAAGAGAGCCCTCAAGACGGCCCAAGTGCCGCCCAAGACGGACCAAGAGGCCCCAAGACGGGCCCAAGAGGGACTCAGGAGGGATACCGAGAACTCAAAAATGGAGCCCTCCGTCCCAGAAGGCGCCCAGGAGGTCCCAAAGAGGCCCCAAGAGGCCTCCAAGAGGCCCCAAGATGTCGCCAAGAGGCCCCAGGAGACTCCCAGGAGGCCCAAAAGAAGCCCCAGAAGGCTTCAAACATGTCTCCCAGGCGCCCCCGAACGGCCTCTCAACAGACCCCAAGAGGCCCCCCAAAGAAGCATCTTGACGACGACTCTATTTCGCCCCATCGAGAGACGACCCCCAGGGAACTGCTTCACCATCAAAACTCCCCACGCAACGCGTCCGAACGACACCCGCCCCCAAGAGCGCAACATGGGCAACGAACACACAGACAAAAACCAGCGATGCCATATCACGGGCCGGCGGAATGAGCGAAGCGATTCAATAAATACACACAAATAAATATATTCCCAATATTTTCCCATATTTTCTGGGGTTTTGTCTTCCCCACCACTTCCCATATTTTCCCATATTTTCTGGGGAGTCGACGATTAATTGTGTCTGTGTGTTTCTTCCCCTCCTGAGAAAGACGATCGCCCTCATCCCTGACCTCAAGTGGGCAGCCAGCACAGGATCAAACACCAGATCGGATCGAAGCAGGCATCGGATCGGACCGGCCGCGCCAGGATACACAGCAGCGCCGTGCAAGTATCAAGCCGCATCGGAGTGCCCGAAAACATATTCGAATCGGACCAGGCTGGCCAGAATCGAGATCGAATCGAACAGAGTTGGACACTGAAGGGTCAGAAGATTTCACTGGAACCTTTGAACTTAGACCCCGGTCGAGTTTACGAGCAGTCCAGACAGGCCTATAGGTGGTCCAGAGGGATATCTTTGTTAGCACCCCAGAAGGTCGGGGATGGAGGCCTCCCCAAAGACTCCATTACACATCGGGTCGGGGGGTCGTACAGCATTCCGAGACTCACGGGGCCCTGGGACACACAAATAAATGCACACAAATAAAAGGATTCCCCCGTCAATTTCCATATTTGTTTGATTTGCATCTTCCCCCCCACTTCCCATATTTTCCCATATTTTCCTGGGGATCGACGATTACTTGTGTCTGTGTATTTTGTTGTCCCTCCTGAGAGACATCCGCCGATCTGGTCAGTGCGCGGCCCTGGAGGTCCGGACCTCCCTCCCAGGATCAGCTAGCCTTTCGCGCCTGCTCCGTGCTCGATTGTCCCCGGGCCCTGAGAATCGGGAGCGGCAAAGAGGGGGGCGTCCAAGAAGGGGGGGTGCAGATCATGACCGGCGGCATGTGCGCGGCCCAGCGGGGGGGCCGGGGACGTAATGAGACAAGAAGAGGCGCCATGAAATCTGGGGAAATATCATGGCCCACGCCATGATGTCCACCCCCCCCGAGTCATCACCCCCCTCTGCTCCGCCCCCGAAAGAAGAGCCCTGGAGGCCGAGATCGAGGACAGCCGCCCGGATGGAAAGCATCAGATCGTTGGAGATCTGGGACTGCCGACGCCTCGGCGACGCGTCGGCAACGCTGGGGGTGGCGAACACCGGGCTCTGCATCGCTCCGCAAACGCCGATGGGCGACGCGGCGTGCCCTTCCGGCCCCCCGGAATCCCCTGCAGCCGGACCTAGGGCAGAATAACTGAAGGGGCCCCAGGACACACAAATAAATACACACAAATAAAAAGATTCCCCGTATTTTCCCATATTTTCAAGGTTTTGTCTTCCCCCCCACTTCCCATATTTTGGCATATTTTTCTGGGAATCGACGATTAATTGTGTCTGTGTGCTTCTTTCCCTCCTGAATAACATCCTTCGAGAACATGAGACCCTCCGCCGACCGAGCTGAGGAACACTCGGGGGCACCCTCCCCCACGGAGCACGAGGAGGTCCAACAGACACGAAGAGCATTCAGGGCACCCTCCCTGACTACCTACCAGACCACCCCAACCCAACCCGAAGACCCGAATTTCGGGTGGGGGGGGGTACGGGTTCCATATGTGTTTTCTCGATGTTCCCCGACCCCCCCCCCACTGGAAATCGACGGTAAATTTGAGCCTTCGGGTTGGGTTGGGGTGGTTTGGTGGGTGGTGAATTCAGGGCACCCTCCCCGAGCCGACCTCGACCCTATACCCAGTCCGACCGCAGCTCTGGCCCCGTGGGGGCGGACTGGGTCCGCCCCCCCCCCCCCCTCGTCGGGGAAGCCTCCAGAGGTCCCCCCCGGCCCAAATCTCCGACGGCACTGCTGCTTTCAGTCCGTCTCCAACCCGGGCGCTGTTCCTCGGCTTCGGCCCCCATGGGGCCCGTCGTCGGGCCCCGGGGCCCATCAAGCTCCGATCTCGTGCGAAGGGGGTCGGAAACTCTGCGGCCACGGATGGCAAAAAAACATGCCCGTCGGTAGGAAGAAGCGGGAAAAAAATGAAGCAGGAAGGCGTTGGAAATAGATTGGGCTTCCGCCCGCCCCCTGAGGAGGAGGGAAGAGGAAAAACCGCTCGATGCTTGAAGTAGGATGGCGGCTAGCGTAGATCGGGGCCTGGGAGTCCCAAAATCGTGGATCTTCTGACCCGGGTCAATCCAGACCCGGGTCAGCAGGAAACCAAAAAACTGCAATGCAGGAGAGAAAAAAAACACTGCAACGCAGGTCTTCGCAAACCTGGGTCAGGCGGCCACGAGCGGCTCGCTAACTCGGGTCAGCCAGAGGGGGTCTTCGCAGGATCCTGCAGGATCCGGCGCCCTGGCTGACCCCCATCTGCATTGACCCCCGTCTCGAGGCTCCCGACAAAACAACTACTTTCAACGACCGGCGTAGATTGAAAAACACATCTCGGCGGACCGGACGACATAAGTTGGAGGGGGAGGGGGTCCTCCTCCTCCTCCTCCTCCTCCTCCTCCTCCTCCTCCTCCTCTTCGTCCTCCTCCATCCTCCTCCTCCTCGACTCCTCCTCCTTCCCCCTGGTGGAAAACAGGCCCATCATGACAGGGGAGGTCCACACAGGTCCGCCCCCACCCGGAGGTGCCCGCAGGTTTCCAGGGGCCTCCGGAGGCCGGGCGGCACGGGAGAAGAGCTCCCCGTGGAGGTCGCGGCCTGCGAGTCTCGAGCCTCGATCCCCGTCCAGAAGAGAACTGCGATGCAGGTAGGCAGCCTCGTACTAGGAGGAGGACGAGGAGGAGGAGGAGGAGGAGGAGGAGGAGGAGAAGGAGGAGGGGGAGGACGAGGCATAGGAGGAGGAGGAGGAGGAGGAGGAGGAGGAGGATGAGGAGGAGGAGGAGGAGGAGTTGAGGAGGAGGAGAGTACGAGGAGAAGGAGGAGAGGGGGGGAGAAGGGCGACGCGCCTGAGGGGGCCTCAGATTCGAGGCACTCGGCCCCTTGTGCGTCGGCCCTGGCCAGAGCAGTCTCGAGGACATGGGCCGTGGGCCCGAGCTCCTCAGCCCTGGCGCGCGAACGAACTCCGAAATCCGAGGAGGGGGAGGAGGAGGAGGAGGAGGAGGAGGAGGAGGAGGAGGAGGAGGAGGAGGAGGAGGAGGAGGAGGAGGGTGAGGAGAAGGAGGAGGAGGAGGAGGAGAAGGAGGAGGAAGAGGAGGGGAGCAGAAATCCCCCAACGCTCCCCTGTGACTGCATTGGTGCTATGACCTCCTCGAACTTCGATGCCCGAGCGTCCACCGTCCAATCCTCGAACCCTCGATGCCTCCATCCTTGATCCTTCGATCCTCGATCATCAAACCTCAGAGGCGGCCAGAAGAGTCTGCGCTGGATGGACCCGGAAAAATCGGTCGGTCAAGGGGGAGGGTGAAGGCAAATCCGCTAAAAATCTGTCCTAGGGTTAAGTCGGGCGTGTTCTCCTACAGGCGGATTTTGGGCGAGCAATCTGAAATACGCAAAACATACACAACAACAAAGAAGCCAAAACAACAACAAAAGCATCATATGTTTTGACTGTGTTTGAATATTCCTCTTGTAGAGGGACGTGCCCGACTTACTCCTCGGGACCCTCCTCGGGTCCAAACTGACCAATCTTTCAACCCGCGCCCAGCCGTGGTGACGAGAGGGCCCCATTCCTCCCCCTTCCTGCTGGCCGGGACCAGTGCTGGGCCACCTCAGCCCCCGCAACCAGGCCCAGCCTCGAAACCTCGATCCCTCGATCATCGATCCTCGATCCCGCGCTCCCGCGCTCCTTCGATCCTCGATCCTCGTCGCTCGATCCGACGATCCCTCGATCCGTCAGTCCCTCGATCCCCGATCCCGCGATTCCAGGACCCCTCGATGAATCCCTCCACAAAACGGCGCGGCGGACCCGAGGAGAGCAGGACGTTGCCAGTGACGTTGGCGTACTGCCGGCCCAGGCTCTCAGACTGAGCCGTCCACCTTGCGGCGGCCGCAAACGACGACGACGTTTCGTTTCGTTTCATTTCGTTGCCGTCATGCTGGAGGTGCTGCCACCAGGGCCAGACGGCGCTAAGCATGACATAGTGCAGGGCAGGAATACGAATTCTCTGAGTGTCCTTCGCGAGTCAAGACACAGTCGCTGACCATCCCTCAAGTTAAGCTGTGGGTGGTAATCGTCGTCACCATCATCATCATCATCATCAGCATCATCATCATCATCATCATCATCATCATCATCATCATCATCATCATCATCATCATCATCATCATCATCATCATCATCATCATCATCATCATCATCATCATCATCATCATCATCATCATCATCATCATCATCATCATCATCATCAGACTCAGCATCAGAATCAGCATCAGCATCAGCATCAGCATCAGCATCATCATCATCATCATCATCATCATCATCATCATCCTCATCGTCATCATCATCATCATCATCATCATCATCATCATGAGCAGCAGCAGCATCATCATCATCATCAGTCGTCTTCGTCATCATCATCATCATCATCATCATCAGCATCATCATGAGCAGCAGTAGCATCAGCATCAGCATCAGCATCATCATCGTCATCATCACCATCATCATCCTCATCATCATCAGCATCTCCATCGTCATCATCAGCATCATCAGCAGCAGCAGCATCATCAGCATCGGCATCTTCATTAGCATCAGTAGCAGCAGCAGCAGCCGCATCTTCATCATCCGCATCAGCATCATCACGACCATCATCACCAATTAGCATCAGATTCATCAGCATCATCAGCATTCGTCAGTATCCTCACCTCATCCTCATCATCATCATCATCATCATCATCATCATCATCATCAGCATCAGCATCAGCATCAGCATCGTTATCATCATCACCATCATCATTAGCAGCATCAGCAGCATCATCATCAGCAGCAGCGTCATCATCAGAATCGGCATAAGCATCATACTCGTCAGCAGCAGCAGCATCATCAGCATCAGCATCAGCATAATAATCAGCAGCATCACCTTCTTCATCATCATCAGCATCATCAGCAGCAGCAGCAGCCGCATCATCATCATTATCATCAGCAGCAGCATCATCATCATCATCATCATCATCATCATCATCATCATCATCATCATCATCATCATCATCAATAATCCGCATCATCATCATCTGCATCAGCAGCATCCTCATCAGCATCAGCATCAGCATCAGCATCATCATCAGCATCAGCAGCATCATCATCAGCAGCATCATCATCGCCGTCGTCGGCGTCGTCGTCGACCTTCCCTCCCTTGGAATGGCGATGGCCGCCTGGTCTTCTCGCCGCCGAGACCCGTGATCAGCTTCTCCGCCCGCACCAGCCGCCTCGAGCAGTCGTCCACCTTGCGCCGCGGAGGTCGCGCCTCCTCGAGCCGCCGCGCCTCCTCGTCCTCCTCCTCGTCCTCCTCCTCCTCCTCCTCCTCCTCCTCCTCCTCCTCCTCCTCCTCCCTCCTCCTCCGCCTCCTCCTCCTCCTCCTCCTTCGCCTCCTCCTCGTCCTCGAGCCCCGGCGCCTGCTCCCCGCCCGCCCTCCCAGCGGATCCCCGTGCCCAAGGCGGCGGCAGGGCCCCGCCGGCCTCGCCCTCGGAGCACGGGACTCGCACCGGAGAGGCGCGTCGGATCGGGGTCTGCAAGGGCACGGAGTCGCATCTCGGGTCGGGCGAAAGGGGGGGATAGCAAGGGGGGGGGTTTGAGAATCAGCTCACGTAGCTGATTTTCCCGGCGCCTCCCGGCGCCGGAGGCGGCTATGTATCGAGGAATGGGCACCTCGGTGAGGCCGAAACCAGCTGCATGCAGCAAATTTCGTAACCCCCCCTTTCCCAATCCCCCCCTTTCGCCCGACCCGAAAGGGCACGGAGTCGCATCGCATGGGCTCCGCCGGGAGGCACAGCAGCGAGCGGGCCGCATCGGATCGTCGTGCCATCGGGATCGGCTCGGAGCGGGCTGGCAATTTGGGCCTCTGTTGGGGCGCCCGATGGGGCCACGAAACGTGTCAGAGGCACGCCAAAATAGATGCGGTGGGCGCGTGCGAACGCTGGCATTTGGGCCTTTGTTGGGGCTCCAGATAGGGCCACGAAACGTGTCAGAGGCATGCCAAAATGGGTGCGGTGCGGCCGGGAGCGACATCGAACCAGATCGGTCCGAACGAAAGGGGCCCTGGGTGGAGGGGGTAGGAGCGCACTGAGGAAGGAGAAGATGGACGAACATGAACTGTCGGAGGTCAATGAAGATTACATGGAGCGGCGCGAGAGGAGCCGCCCGGAAGCTCGAACGCCGATGCAACAGATCCGCACGAACCGTGGCAAGTATGTGTTTGTACCGTGTCTTCTTCTTATTTTTCTTCTTATCATTGCGTTTTTTCTCGACAGTATTCGTGTTCGTCTTGAGATCAACCCTTCTTCACCATAGATTTGTCCGTCGTTATAGGATTCATGGTCATACGTGTTCTTGCTAGTACTATTCTTACTAGCATCATCGGCAGTAGTATGCGTGTCCTTGCTGGTACAGTATGATCATGACCAGCTCGGAAGCGCAGGGAAGCGGCTGGGGCAGCGCAGGGTAGGCGGTTGGGGAAAGGCGGGGGGAGAAGCCGGCTGAAGAGAGAAAGGCGGGGGCTCAGAGGCAGAGCAGAGCAGAGGTGGGCAGGGGGAGCGGGAGGCAACACGACGACGACGACGACGACGACGACGACGGCAACGGCCACGCCCAAGATGCACAAGAGCGACGACGACGACAGCGACGACGGCCACCCCTAAGATGCACAACAGCAACGACAACGACGACCACGCCGAAGATGCACAACAGCGACGACGGCAACGAAGACGACGGCGACGGCGACGGCCACGCCCAAGATGCACAACAGCGACGACAACGACGACCACGACGGTGCCGACGCGTCGGCGTCGGCGTCGACGTCGGCGTCGTCGTAGCCGTGGTCGTCGCAATGGTCGCCGTCGTCGCCAAGACAGCGAGAGGTGGCGGGGCTGCGATACAAGAAAGGCAGACCTCCTCCCTCTTCTATCCTGCTCCGCCCCTCCCCCCAGCTGCCTCCCCGCCTTCCGCACCCCTCGCCTCCCTCGCTTCACCTTTCCCCTCCCCATCCCCTTTCCTCCTCACCCTCCTCCGCCGCCTCCACCTCCCCCCTGCTAGCACCCCATCCTGCCAGGAAAGAAAAAGCAACGACGACGACGACGACGACGACGACGACGACGACGACGACGGAGACGAGGACGACGACGACGACGGCGGCGACGACGAGGACAACGGCGACAGTGACGGCGGCGGAGACGAAGACGACGAGCCAGCCGCGCCTGGATCGCAAGGTCGTCCTCGGCGGCCGCTGGTGTCGGCCCGCCCCAAGCTGCCAACCCTCGTCGTTTTCGCGGGAAGGGCTAGACGGGGCGGGGGGGAGGGGGGAAGGGGGATCGGAGGAGGAGGAAGACGAGCAGGAAGGAGGGGGAGGTTGGGAAAGAGGGAGCGAGGGGGAGGAGCAGGAGGAGGAGGAGGAGGAGGAGGAGGAGGAGGAGGGGAAGGACGAGGAGGAGGAGGACGAGGACGGGGGGGAGGAGGAGGAGGAGGAGGAGGAGGGGGAGGAGGAGGAGGAGGAGGAGGAGGAAGAGGAGGACGACGACGACGAGGAGGAGGAGGCGGCGGCGGGGCAGGCTCCGGCGATCCAAGGGGGGAAGCCTTTTCTACAGCATGCCGTTGGCCAACTCACTGCTCTACCTTCTCAGGACAGGTAGAAGATCCAGTTGTCGTACCCAAAGGTTTCAGTTGTCGTGTGGGCCCAATAAAACGTTAAGCGAACGGACCGTCACGCCAAAAGAACAAATTGCCCAAGTGCTGCTTCCAGTCGACTCCATCAGAAGCCACAGAAATCCATGCCAAACCACGCTGATAAAAGAGATTGGATATTTCTGCGCCCCAACGCCACGGGCAAAACCGCTTTGGATGTCCCTGACAACCACCATTGGCCCCAGCAAACTGGCGCAGCAACGAGATGCGCTTCCAACACAAAACGTTCGAAGGTATGCGATGCCATTCCTGGAGCCCTTGGCGTACCAATTTCCCAGCCCACTCGCACTGCTGCTTTCTCCAAGCTTGCACCCACGATTCCACGCTGTACTGCTGCATAGCTCGTGAGGCCAGGCCTTCACAGCGGTGCATGCACTGGTCCACGGTCACCTGCTGAAGCTTTGGGGTGCGAAGGATATGGCGCACCATTTTACGCTGCACTCCAGTAATGGCCCTCTCCTGACGCACGTCTAGATTCCAAGCGCCCGCCCCCCAGAGGAGCGCGAGCTTGACGGCCAAGTCCAGCAGCTGCAACTTCCTCTTCAGGGACCCCGACTTGTGCATAAGTAAAGCCCTGCACTTGAAGTAAAGCCCCCACGCTTTAGAGATCCTGTTGTCGAACTCCTTCCCGAACGAACTGTCGAGAGCGACCATGGCCCCAAGGGCTTTGAAACCGTCGCTCTGGGCTGCTCGCCTAACGTCGCGGCCATTGACGGCCAGCGCATTCGGGACGCCATCTGAAGCCGCTGTACCCCAGGAACACTCCTCCAGAGGGACTGACCATCCAGACCGGCATAGTCTGCCCAAGAACGACTGCACTATATCCGTCAGCATCTTGAGCGATGTTCCAAGGATCCAGAAGTTGTCTGCAAAACACCAGATGCCATAAAAAGCCCCTCCAACTGAGAGGCCCCATTTCTTCTCCGCGCACTCCGCCTGAAACTCTGCCATGTCAACGTCGAAGATCAAGATGAAGACTTTCGGAGCGTCTGGCCCCCCGTAGCACAAGGACTGGGCGCGCCCGATATCCTTGCTGCAGACCTCTCCAGCACAGACCTTGGATTTCAACTTGCGGACCTCCCTGAAGATAGCTGCAGACGTAATATGTTGAAAGCCCTTCCAGACCAGACGCTGCGCGCCGAGGAGGCGGTTCACCGTATCGCACGCCTTGAAGAGGGCCCCGTCGATGATGAACAAGGGCGGCACCACGTCCTGCTTCTCGACATGTTTCTCAATCAATGCCCGGAGCGCCACAATCACATCCAAATCCTGCCTGTGTGGACGGAACGCAAACTGAATATCATTCAGATTCTCCAGGTGCTTGTTCTCCTGCTCCAGAACGCACGCCTAATTTCACTTGCATCAAGACCAGGATGATAGTAGTAGGCTGGAGTTTGGAAGGGTGGGTAGGCTCATCCTTCTTCACAATACACTGCACCACGACGCGTTCCCATGATGCGTCGTCGGCCTCGGATACGTGGCTCAGCAGCCGGAGCCTGGAGACATCCGCCAGCACCTCGAACATGTCCTCGTCGAGGCACGCGATCATCTCAATGACCACCAGGTCTTCTGCGCACGTCCGGCTCAGCTTGAATCGATGCACAGCCCTGCGCACGAGGCTGCCGTCAAGAGGCCGAAAACAAGACAAGGCGCCCGCGTGCCACGACTTCGAAAACCAAGGAGGCATATCTTCTTTGAGCGAGCGCTCGTTGCTGTAGAGATTGTGGACACACGCAGTTAACCAATGCCCCTTTGCCTCGTCGCTGAATGCCATGTCGGACGTACCAGGTTCCCGAAAGAACGGCACCACCTTCTTCTGAAATGGATTGGCTGGACGAGCTGCCTGGATAGCCTCGGCCACCTTCACATCAAAACGTAGTCTTGCTATGCGCCTCCTCTGCTTGACCACCATGTGTGCCACGAGTGCGCGGGATACCGGCGCAGATTCCATCCTCCGCCGCCGTTGAAGCTCACGGAGTGCGCACTTCGCCTGCCGGATGGCCTCGGTGTCGCGGCACCCATGCCGAAGCGCGCGACCGTGGACGCGAGCCTCGGAGGAGACTGCCTGGGTGAACTCGGCGATGGTGGGGACGACGTTCACAAAGTCAACGGACCTCACCTCCGTCAAATTGGTGGCGACATCGCCAGCGAGCTTCTGGAAGTTCCTCGCCGCCCCCACGCGTGATCTAAATTCTGTCGCCCCCCAGTCGGCAAGCCGGTATGGGCGGCGCCACCAAGACGCGATGTTGTCGCGATTCCCTGCGAAAGCTGCCAGCCTGTCTGCCTCCCCGTTCCCGGCGATGCCAGTGTGCGACTTCACCTTGACAAGCCGCACATCAAACACACGCGATAATATTTTCCACAAGTGCTCCATGAGAGTCACGGGTTCAACATGCTTCCTTCGCGTGGAACTTACCCGTCAAAACCCCGACAACGTACACAGAGTCCACCTTGAACACGATCTTCCCGACGTCCTCCATGAAATTGTTATTGCCTGGGTTCGCCGAGTCACGAGTGGAAAGGAGGAAGAGACACGCCTAGACCATCGCAGAACATTCACCAGTATTGCTGGAATAATGCCTGGCTCCCACAAAATAGTCCCCTCAGCGTCGGTGACGACGAGACCACATGCAGACAACAATGGCTCACCTATCCCACTCGTGTCCCCAAGCCCTTTCGCAGTGAAACCCCAAGATGCGAAAAATGCCCTTGTCCGTTTTAACTGGCAGTGCCCGTCGGTGAAGACGCGCACGGCACTCCTCGAACTCCTTGGCGGTCTACGGCTCCATCGTCGAGACTCCTGGGATGCGAGCCCGAAATATTCAAATTTCCATCCTACTAGTTCTGGGGGAGGCCGGCCTCCTCACTGCTGTCGCCGCCAGGGATCCGCAGCCGCCCCAATACCCCGGACGAGGCTCCGATGATCCGTCGTGGTTGCATCAATCTCTGTAGGGTGGCACCTGCTCCGGCCTGCGACCTGCCTGGGCACGAAGACAAAATCTATTTGCCGAGGCTCAGATTTCAAATGATAGTGACAAGTGTACGCGTCGGTCCGGTTTGCCTGATTGTACGTGTTCACCGCCACCATGTCGTGCTCAAGCGGAAAGTTAGGGACAATCGGGCCCTTGAAGCCTGCGTGTAACTCAGCATAGGGTCCAACAAGATCTCCGTAAGCGCGTTGGCCATCTTCCATGACAACCACTCTATCCTGAACGTTAGCACCTAACAATACATGACCTTCCTCTGGTAGCCCATCGCACAAAGCTGACATGTTATCAACGCTCTCCCGGTACGGCTGGAATTTGCTGTGGGGGTAAAGATGGGCACAAATACACCATATGCACAAATCAAGTAACGGATCCCCCCCAGTCCGGACCCCCCCCCCAGTCCGGACCCCCGCCAATCCGGACCCCCGCCAATCCACACACACCCCCCCCGTCTGGACCCCCCCCCAGTCCGAACCCCCCCCCGGTCTGGACCCCCCCCTGGTCCGGACCCCCCCCCCGGTCTGGACCAGGGGGGGTAAACCGAACTGACGTCAAAACCGAACCGGCTACAAAACCGAACCGGCTGCAGAGCCGGACCGAACCGAATCGAACCGATCCTTTCGTGATGAGGGGAACGCTTCCTGAGCGGGTTTGCTTGGCATTTCGTGGCATGGCTTGGCATTGCTTGGCATTGCAAAGCTCTACATTGCTATACATTGCTGTGCATTGTTTTGAAGTAATGTGCAGCGCTTGACGTTGTTTGGTACTGATTGGCAGTCCTTGGCATTGTGTGTCACCGAATGGCGTTACTTTGCATTGTTTTGCATTGCCGGGGATTGGCTGGCATTGCTTTGATTGGTGTTGCTTTACATTGATTGGCATTGAATTGCATTGCCTGGACCCTGGCGGTACTTGACTTCATCGGCATTGCTTCGCGGTGATTGGCGCTGGTTACCATTGCGTTACGCTGCTTGGCAATGGGTTGCTTGCTTGGCGTTGCGTGGCATTGCGTTCATTGCTTGGCATCGTTTGGCACTGCTTGGCATGGCGTTTCATTGCTTGGCATCGTGTGGCATTGCTTGGCATCGCTTGACAGTAATTCCTGTGACTTGGCATGCTCTTGAATTGTTTGGCATTGCCTGGTACTGCTCGGCACTGCGTGGCGTTGGTCGGCGTTGAGTGGCACTGCGTGGCAGTGCCTGGCACTGCTCGACATCACGTTACACTGCATGACATCTCTTCTGAATACCACTGCAAAGAGACGAGACCAGGGACCCCCTGGGAACGCCCGGTGCAAGGAGGCAAGCCTTTAGTCGGGCCTGTCCCTCTACAGAAGAAATTTTCAGGAATAGTAGAAAAATAGTCAGGGGACGATTGTTCTATCATTTTTTGACAATTCTGGGGTAGTTTTAGGATATTTCTAATTTGTTGCCCCAAATCCGCCTGTAGGGGGACATGCCCGACCAAGGCAAGCCCTGGGACCCCCCCCGAGGCACCCTGGTGCGGCGACTGGGCACGACGCGCCCAGCTGCCTCCTTCGACCACAGGCAAGGAGCCCCTCTCCGTTCTCGTTTTGCTCCCGTGTTCCTTCGTTCTGTCCTCGTTCTGCCTTTGCGAACGAGAGCAGAGCGACAGCGGTCCACGAAGTCGCCAGAACGCCGCTTTTAGCTCGAGCCCTGAGGTGGTGGCCCCTGAGGCAGACCTCGATGGGAGGAAGACTGAATCGAAGGGGCCCTGGGACACACAAATAAATACACACAAATAAAATGGCTCCCCATATTTTCCCATATTTTCTGGGTTTTTGTCTTCCCGCCCAATTCCCATATTTTCCCATATTTTCTGGGGAATCGACGATTAATTGTGTCTGTGTGTTTTTTTCCCTCCTGATGAATCTCGACTCCTGGCCTCCCCACTGCCACTGGGCGGCCTCGTGCCGCAGCAGGCAGGGCGGGACACCACCCGGCAGGAGGCGGAGGCGGAGGAGGCTGGTCCTGCCCTTCCTCGTCCTCACTCCCCTCCACCTCCTTACAGTAGGGGCTCGACCACAAGAGACCTTCCACAAGAAACCCACCCCTGAGACCCCAGAGCGTCCCTCGAGTTTTGGGGGTGAGAACGTCACGCTTCCCAGAGCCAAAGCCATCGAAGCCCCAGAAACCCGGGGCACCCTGGAGGCAGGCGGACTGTATCATGCCCCCCTCCCTCCCCCCGCCTCGTGCCCTCGACGCAGCTGCCGCCCTCCGTCCGCCCCGGTGTTCCTCCTCCCGCGGGCTGTGCGGGGCCGCGCTGCCTCACAGACCACCCCATACCAAGCCCGAAGACCCGAATCCCGCCCGACTTTCGGGCTGGGGGGTGGGCACGGGCCTCGTGTGCGTGTTCTTCCCAGGTTCCCCGACCCCCCCCCCACCACTGGAAATGGAGGGCAGATCGGGGGCCTTCGCGTTGGGTCGGGGAGGCTTGGTTGAAGGGGCCCTGGGACACACAAATAAATACACACAAATGAAAAGGTTCCCCATATTTTCCCATGTTTTCTATGTTTTCGTCTTCCCCCCACTTCCCATATTTTCCCATATCTTCTGGGGAATCGAGGATGAATTGTGTCTGCGTGTTTCTTCCCCTCATGAGTGGCTTGGTGGGCGGCGAGCTCCTTCTTCTTCTTGGCATCCCTCAGGCCGCTCCGGAGGCTCTCGACGTTGTCCTCGCCAACCGCGCCGCCGATGGGGGCGCGGGGGGGGAGGGGGGGGGGGGGGAAGGCGCTCCCGCGGCCGCGGCGCCACCGCCCGCTCCCCTCCGGCCGCGCGTGCGCACGGCAGGTACATCCAGGTCGGGCAGGTCCCCCTACAGGGCGCATGTTGGACGAAACATACAGTCGGGGCGTTGACCTAAGGAACCCTGAATAAGGAACGAGGCCCCTTGTTTCCACAAGTTAACCTTCGATTTCCGGTCGAAAACATGAGGAAAGCCTGAGGCAAGCTGTGAAACACGTAAGGAACGCGGAGCCCCTCCCCAACGAAAAGGGTTCCTTCTTCAGGGCCCCGACTGTAGAAATAGTTTTGAACACCACACAAGATACTCACAAAACGTCCCCAGACGATTTCTTCACTATGTTTGAATATTCCTCCTGTGGAGGGACATGCCCGACTTGGCGGTAGGTGCGCGCGGTGTCAGCGCGCGCACAGGCTTTTGACACCGCGTCGATCGTTCAACCTTGAACCGATCGCGGCCCGGGACGTTCAGGGTTGAGTTCCGCTGGGGCCGGTGGCATCACCGTGTCCCTCGGTGCTTCCGCGTCGCAGAATTGCACCCTGAGCGCCTTCGCCGGCGTCGCCGGCGCGCCGTCGCCGCGCACACCTGCCGTGTTTGCTGTTACTGGTCGCTCTGCGCACAGGTGGTGCTCGCGGGGCGCATCGTGATCGCTCGCGGAAGTTGTTGCAATGATAATATCTGTAGTTTTATACAAAGACATCGATGTTATATAACTATATACGTATGTACTAGAACGATCTCTCGCGCGCTTCGCGCGCGCTCAAGTTCCAGCTTGGCTTGATAGGCTGACTCATGGAATCACATGTTGGTCGCTTCTTGCGTCCAGGGACTCCCTTGGAGGCCCTGCGCAAGCCTCGGAATCGTAAAGAAGAGGAAGTGCGGAAACGTAGAAAACATTAATTTCCTTTAGGTGTTCAACGATTTGGGGCCCTCAAATGCTTCCTGGGTTCTTTTTTGGGAGGTGAGGGGGGTCTGAATTGTGGTCTGTTGTGCAAGAGTAGACCGGGGGCCAAACTTGGAGAAAAACAAAACAAAAAAAAACAAAAAAAATGTTGGGTTTCCATGTTTATCTAATTCCTCGGCGCTGTTCGGCGCTGTTTTTTGATTGTGCCTCGCGGGTTTTGTTAGCCAGGCCCCTCAGGGGTGTGGGATCTTCCGGACACCCTGGGGGTTCTGGAGGCCTCCTGGAGGCCTGGAGAGCCGTCGGAAGGGTGTCTGGGGCTGCGCGGGAGCGTGTTGGGCCGTTCTTTCTGGTCTGGGGGCTCCTTGGGGTCGTCTTGGGCTGTGCTTGGGCGTCTTGGGGGTCCCCCGGGAAGCCGAGAGGCGCGGTACGGGCCAGATGTGAGGGGATGTGTGGGATGTCCGAGTAGGAGTCCCACACAGGGAGAACGTGAGAAGGCGGAAAACATTAGAGAAACCATTAGAAATCAGCGATTCTACCCTCTTTGGGCTCTTCCTGGACGGCTCTCGCAGCTCTCATGGGCTGTTCTTGGAGCCTCGTCGGAGTCTTTTTGGGGTCTCTCAGGGATCGGAGGTGTGTTGGGGGCCTCTGGGGGTCCCAGAGGCCTCTCGGAGGTCTCTGGAGCCTCCTGCTCCCGCTCTTGGGCCCATCTTGGGCCTGTTCTGGGGTGGTCTGGGGCTGTCCTGGGCGCCTCTTCGGCAGTCTTGGAGCCTTCTTGGCCCGTCTTGGGGCCGTCCTGAGGATCTCTTGGGTGGTCTTGGGGCGGTCTTGGGAGCCTCTTCGGCGCTCTTGGACCGTTGGAAGCTCGAAAACGCGAAGTGCCAAAAACATGTAAAAAACAATCAATCGGAGATGCTGGCCTCTTCGGGCCGTCCCGGGACGCCTCTCGGTCCTCTCTTGGGGGCTCCTGGAGGCCACCTGGGAGCCTCGAGAGCCGTCGGAAGGCTGACTTGGGCTGCTTCGGAGCGTCTTGGGCCATTCTTTCGCATTCTGGGGGCTCCTGGGAGGCGTCTTGGGCCCTCCTGGGGCGCTGTGGAGGCTCCCCGGAATGGCTGGGGGAGCGGTACCGGGAGCGTTCCCGAGATGTGGCGGGGAGGTGTGGGACCCAGGGCCGGGGGGGGGGCGGCTAACGGCCACTGCGTGAGCGACGAAAAGAAACGGACCTGAACGGGCCTTACTCGAGATGGCACGCGGAGCGCCACATTGGAAACCAGGGCGCTTACGCGCGAGCTCACGCGGGCAGCTTACGCGCCAATGCCGGTGAACACGAACACGTTTTCCTCCGTCGCTCATATGAGAAATTAACAGGCGAAGAACGGTATAACATATTGTGTCCGCTGTCGGGGGCGCCTGTCAAGAGGGCGGCTGGAAAATTTATACCCTCACGGTGGCACGTCAAAATATAAACGTTCCAGCCGCCCTGGGGCAGCGCCCCCGGTGACGGAAAAGTTCATCCTATACCGTTCTTCGCACGCTAAGGAAACGATGCCACTGACGACAGCGAGACTGGGGGGTGAGGTAGGCCAGCCCTGCCTCAGGGCCGTCCTCGTGTCTGCGCGCGCTCGGCGCAGCACGCGCTCTGTGACCCCCCCGCACCTGGGCCTCCGACTCGCTGATGAAGGCAGCCAGTGGGTACAGTTAGGTCGGGCATGTCCTCCCACAGGCAGATTTTCAAGAAAATAGAAAATAGTCAAGACGTACTCCAAATAATCGAAAATGGCTTTAAACTAATCATCTCACTATTGTTCGACTATGTTTGTATTTTCCTCCTGTAGACGACACTCCCGACTTCAGGGTACAGTCATCGTGCTACCAAAGGGAACCTGGATATAAGGAACGAAGGGGCTTCTCTTGCCCGGGCAAGCCCCGGCCACGAGGTTCCCCGACCTAGACCTAAGGACGGGCCCGAAAACAAATGCCTCTCCTCGGCCAAACTGTAGCCTAAGCTTCTTAGGTCGGGCATGTCCCCCTGCAGGCGGATGTTGGAGGGAACATACAACATGCTCAAAAGATGTTCAATGACAGTGAGAAATATTCAAAACATCGTCCCCAGACGGTTTTTGTTACTCCAGATTTCGTAGTAAAGGGAGGGGGGTCTCATTTCGGGGGGGGGGTCTCTTCCAGGCTATCTTGGAGGGCCTGGGGGGTCTGGGGACGGTGTTTTGGAGGGTTCTCCCACGGGGGAGGTCTGAAATGGCTTGTCTTGGAGGGTCCAGACCCCCTCCCTTTTATTACGAAATCTGGAGTACTCCTCCTGAGCATCCCTCCTGTAGAGGGACAGGCCCGACATGAGCCTGGCCGGAGGCGGGGAGAGGCGCGCTGGGCGGATCGGCCACCCCGTGTTGCAGCGCGGGCGCCCCGAAGATCGGGGATGTCGCAAGCACTCCAGACTTCGTAACAAAAGGGAGGGGGGCGCAACCCTCCCAGACGAGAAGTTTGGGACCCCTCCAGACCATCCCTCAAAGGGCGGCCCCTCGCCCAGACCCCCCCAAACCCTCCAAGACAGCTCAAATCAGACCCCCCCCCCAAAGGTGACCCCCCCCCCACTTTACTTTGCAATCCGGAGCAACCTCGGCCCGTCCGCCCCTCGCTCCACCGTCCTGGGTCGAGCACCGAGCGCCGCCTGTTTCTTGTTGTTGCCAGTGCTGGGTCGAGGTGGGAGGTCGTTGGCCGTGTGGGGCCGCTTCTGCCTGGACCGAGAGAGAATCGAGGCTCGATACTGGGGCGGAGGCCCCCGGATGTCTCTGGATGTCTCCGGGGCAGAAGGAGACATCTGGACTCCTCCCGAGAGAGAGAGAGAGAGAGAAAGTACCCGCTCTCTTGATCCCCCCAACTGCCCACCACAGCGGATGAAGGAAAGCTGGTGGTTGGTATGCCTTGGCATTGCTTGGAACGCAAGCGAGGAAGAAAGTTTGACGCTGAGGGGAGGACGAGGATGACGACGGTGAGGAGAAGTAGGATGAGGAAGGAGGATGAGGAGGAGGACGTGGACGACGATGAAGACGACGACGAGGACAAGGATGAAGAGGAGGTGAGGACGAGGATCAATATGACGACGAGAAGAAGGAGGACAACGACGACGAACAGAAGGAGGACGAGGAAGGGAAAGTGCAATAAAAAGAAAGGGAAGAGGACGAGGACGACGACAACAAGGATAAAGAGGCGGGAGGAGGTGGAGGAAGAGGAGATGGAAGAGGACGACGACGACGACGACGACGACGACGACGACGACGACGAGGGGGAAGGGCCCGTCCTGAACCTCCTTCAACTGCCTCTTCTTCTCGCTCAGCTCGGCCATGACCTGCCAGGGCGACGGGTAGAAGATCACGGGGGGCTTAGCCGCCCTCCCCTCCTCCTCCTTGTCCTCCTCCTGCTGCTGCTCCCACCAGAGAGAGGAAGAGGTGGGAGTGGAGGGAAAAGAGAGGAAGCAGAGCTTGGCAGCCAAAGGGCCCCGAGACGGCCCAAGAGGCCTCCAAGACAGTCAAACCAAAGTTCAAGAGGGCCGCAAGGGAGGCCCGAGAGGGAGCCGCAGGGACCCCAGGGGCCCTCCCCCACAGGGTGGCCCCCGCCACCACCAGCATGCCCCCGAGAGGCCCTCAACAGACCCCCCCCAAAGAGGGTCCCCCCCCCAAAAAAAAAACTCGGGAGCCATGGACAAGCTCCAAGAGGCTGCCCTCTAGCCTCCACGAGGGGCCCACAAAGAGGAGGAGGAGGAGGAGGAGGAGGAGGAGGAGGAGGAGGAGGAGGAGGAGGAGGAGGGAGGAGGAGGAGGAGGAGGAGGAGGAGGAGGGAGGAGGGGGAGGAGGAGGGAGGAGGAGGAGGAGGAGGAGAGGAGGAGGAGGAGGAGGAGGAGGAGGGAGGGGGAGGAGGAGGAGGAGGGAGGAGGAGGAGGGAGGAGGGAGGAGGGAGGAGGAGGAGGAGGAGGAGGAGGGAGAGAGGAGGGAGGAGGAGGAGGGAGTAGGGAGGGAGGAGGGAGGAGGGAGGAGCAAGGAGGGAGGGAGGAGAGAGGAGGAGGGAGGGAGGAGGAGGAGGAGGAGGAGGAGGAGGAGGAGGAGGAGGAGGGAGGATCTGGACGAGCGTGGGTGGCCATCCCCTCCTCCCCCCGCCCCCCCCCCTCCGGGAAGGGCCGGCCACTCCGCGCGGCGGTGCGGAGGCGCCGCTGGGGACCGCGCTCAGCGGCTGCGGAGCGGAGAGGGCGGATCAGCAACAGCTCACCGCAGGCAGCTCGACGGGAAGTGGCAACCAGCACACACACACACACACATACTCCAGATTTCGTAATAAAAGGGAGGGGGTCACAACCCTCTCAGACGAGAAGTTTTAGACCCCCCCAGACCATCCACGACCCCCCCCGAACCCTCAAGACAGCTCAAATCAGACCCCCCTCCAAATGTGACCCCCACCACTTTATTGTGGAATCCGGAGTACACACACCCAATTGGAACGGCGTATGCCTCTTGAGTTGACTGCTCGACGCCGATTTGGGGGGCCTGGATCACAGGCGCCGGGCGCTATTGGCGCCACCAGCGCTGGAGGAGCAGGAGGAGGACGGCTCGGCACAACTGCGCGCAGGCGCGCAGGCAGCGGGACTGGAAGAGCTAAGTGCCATCTCCGGGCGCAGGAGAAAGCAGACGCGGGTCGAGCAACGGGAGGGAGGCTCCGGAAGCGGACTGGACACGAAGGAACGGCGGACAGAATGGAGGGAGGCGGATCGAAACACACACAATCAGAAGCCGCGCATCTCCTCTTATGGAGGCCGGCGGAATGGCGAAGGCCTATTGAAGCAAGAAAGGGGTCGGCGCCAGCGTCGCCCAGTAGGATCCCGAAACACTGCTTCGTGGCCACGCCCTTCTGTTTAGGATGCTCTTGGGGCGCTCTTGAAATCCTGCTGGGCCGTCTTGGGACCTTCTGGGCTTCTCTAGGGCCAACTTATAAGTTTCGAAAGCACATCGAAAGAAAAAGACGAGAAGCTCAGAACCATGGAAAGTCTCGACCATGCACCACCTTCCAGCTTCCGCACGAAGGGCGGAGCCATGAAAATGATACGACCGCGGTCGCCCCCCTTCTGCTCGCACCACTGCATGATCATGCACCTCACTGGTCAAGGCTACTCCCCTGCGGTTCGGTTCTGAATAGGCTGGTGGAGACCCGAAGCGTCTAGAATTAGTTTATGGCAGTTCCAGGCCCCGCTAGGATACACGCGCGTTGGCTTATTTGACTTTGCGAGCCATCCCGATGTTAGCATACAACTGTCCCGCCACAGAGTCAACTGAATGACAACATTTCGAAATGCGAATACGTTGGCTTACTATCGCGAGTACAAGCCCACATGCGCGTTTCTTGTGGCTCAAACTTCCACGGGTAGCATTAGGTCGGGCATGTCCCCCTACAGGGGGATATGCCCGACCTAATGCTCAAAAATAGTCAAAAAATCGTCCCCAGACTATGTTTGGACTATTGTTGAATATTTCCCCTGTAAAGGCACACGCCCGACTTAAAGATAGGCAGCCAAGAACGACGTCTGCATCGGGGGCGCAGGTGCCCATCCCGCCCCCTGCCATCATTCGCGCACATACGCGCGCAGACCCTTCAAGCCCCAGACCCCACCAACACCCAGCATCACAGCATCCCAGCATCCCCGTCCCCCTCCTCCTCCTCCTCCTCCTCCTCCTCCTCCTCCTCCTCCTCCTCCTTCCTCCTCCTCCTCCTCCTCCTCCTACCTCCTCCTCCTCCTCCTCCTCCTCCTCCTCCTCCTCCTCCTCCTCCTCCTCCTCCTCCTCCTCCTACTCCTCCTCCGCCTCCTCTTCCTCCTCCCCAGCCACCACACACACCCAAGCGCGGTGGTGGATATGCGCGACAGCGCAACCTGAGAATCACCACATCACACCATACCACGTGCACATCACCCTGCACCCGATCACACAGCACACATGCCATTTCAACTACACTCCATCGCGTTTCACTCTGCACGGCACCACCACATGCGTTACACGCAACACCGCCACAAAACACAGCACGGAAAAGCAATACACAACATAGCACAACAGACTTTAAGGTGTGGCACAGCACATCCGCACGCCCACAATCAACCTGTTCAACGTGCAATGCCAGAGCAACAGCTCTATCACCCAAGTGTCTTGCTATGGCAGTCTGTCTGTCTGTCTCCCTCTCCCTCTCGCTCTCTCTTTTTTCTGATCAGCCTTGATCACAAGCTCTCAATTACGACGGGAGCCAGATCACAAGCCGTTGACATGCGAGAGAGAACCTGCCCCATCGCAAGAGGCTCGCTAAAGAGAATCAAAAACTGACATTCAGATTCACGGTTTCGCACGCTGGGCCCCTGGGTTGTGGCCCCGCGGAGACGGAGCGTGGTTTCGCGGATGCCCCACAGGGAACGCACCCGTGCGACCGCGTATCCAGGGGCATCGCGCCGCGAGGGCGTGGAAATACAGATGTTCGCCGCTCGCAGCGTCCGCTTCGCCAGACATCAAGCTGCTCCCATTTGTTCGATGCGTGGGCCCCATAACAAGGGATACGTCGACCCCTATCCCAGGCTTCGTGGGGTTTCCGAATGGACCAGAAATTTGGGGCCCAACCCTGGGATATACGATGGGGGGTGCCCATCCTCGATAGGGGTGCGTCCGAATAGCCCCCTTGGGGTGTATCCCAGGGTTTTTCAATTTTTCTGAGCGGCCAAACTTTTTGGGCGAAACTCGGGGATTGGGGGAGAAACATCGCCTGCGACCCCAGAGGTCTGGGCCGCACTTCCCCAGGGCCGGATGTTCGCCGTGAGCCGCTGTTGGACGGCCCCAGGGCCCAGCGAGGGCCCCCCCGGAGGCCGAACACGGCCAAAGAAACGCCCGCTCTGGGTCCCTCCCCTCCCTCCCCTCCCTCCCCTCCCTCCCCTCCCTCCCCTCCCTCCCCTCCCTCCCCTCCCTCCCCTCCCCTCCTCCTCCCCTCCCTCCCCTCCCTCCCCTCCCTCCCCTCCCTCCCCTCCAAGAGCCAACCGACCGCTACTGGTGGGCTTGTTTTCCACCGCCACCGCCATGAGCAGGAGGGGGAGGGGGTCTTCGTCCCCTCCTCCTCCTCCTCTTCCTCCTCCTCCTCCTCCACCTCCTTCCCCCTCCAACTTATGGTCGGGTGTTGCTAGACGTGCCCCTGTCTCAAGGTGCCCCCAGCTTTTCCCTCCATTTTGGAGCCCCTGGGGCCCTCTGGGCCTCGCGAGCGGTGCCCTGGAGGCCGCCTGGGCCACCCCGCGAATCCTAGGGGTACCTTAGGCCAGGGGCACTTCTAGCAACACCCGATGTGGTGGCAATGGCGGAAAACAGGCCCATCAGCTCCCGTCCCGGCTCGGAGCCCAAACAGCCTGGAGCGCCGCATCTCTGGGTCGCCCTTCGTCCGCCAGAGGAGGAGGAGGAGAAGGAGGAGGAGGAGGAGGAGGAGGAGGAGGAGGACGCCTTTTTTCCCCAAAAGCGGTCTGCGGAGCAGGGCGCCGGGCCCCTCCTCAGCTCTGATCATCGCCCCTCCACCGCGGCGGCCGCAGCGGCCACGGCAACGGCACTTCTGACGACCCACCAGACCACCCCAGCCTTACCCGAAGACCCAGATTTTGGGTTGGGGGGGGGCTACGGGTTCCACATGTGTTTTCACAATGTTCCCCAGCGCCCCCCCCCCCACCCACTGGGAACGGAGGGAAAAGTCGGGCCTTCGGGTTGGGCTGGGGTGTTTTGGTGGGTGGTGAACATCAGCGCGCACCACCTGAACTATGTAATGATCGCCCCAGCCGTGGCACAGACGGAGCCGTGCTCTCAGCACTGGGAAGAATCTAGCTATGCTCGACCCTTTTCCCAAAAAGAGGTCGGCTGAACATTTCGTATATCTAGTAAGGTGGCCGCCGTGGCACTAGCATCTGTGCATATCAGCGTGCACCTGCTTAATTAGACCAAGAAGATCCAAACCCAGCACTGGGAAAAATCATGACTTACTCGATCTGCTCCCCGAAGAATTCCGCGTAACACTTCGTCTATCTAGCACGGTGGCCACCGTGGCACTAGCAACTGTGCATCTCAGCGTGCACCACCTGAATCATGCATAATTTCTCCCAGCCGTGGCACAGACGGAGTCGTGCTCTCAGCACCGGGGAAATCTAGAAAATCTTGGGAACAGCGGCTTTGGGCTCTCGGCGCGAGACGCCTGTGCCACTGGAAACCTAAGGGAGGCTTGCTTGGATATTAACCGGGATACTGATGGGATCCCTAGGATCATACGTGTCCGGGATGCTGGGTGATTCTTCGACCGCCCGGTT